CTCCCCTCGGCGCCCCCAGGCGGTGGCGCGCTGCTTGCGCCGCGCTGCCTAGCGCTGGGCCCCCTTTTCACACATTTTGGGGACTCGGCCGCTTCATCCAATGAACTGATCAAATTGTACAGGCTATGTTGCCAGAGAGGATTATGGGGCAACTTCCATGGTGTCGATCACACGCCGGGCGCCGATTGGGGCGGGTGGAAGGCGCGCGGCGCCCGTGACTAGGCAGGCGGGCTGAGCCCCGCAGTGCCCTCGACCCCGTGGGTGCCCAGGAGGAGTGTATCTTCCGTGGATCAAAGCAGTGTTTGGTAGTGGAGAAAAGCCCCCATCACGGTAGGCAAAGCCCTTCCCCCTGCCCAGGCCTCAGTTTCCTCAGGTGGTCCTTTGAGGGATTTGGACTAGATCCCCGGGAAGCACTTCCAGTCGGGACTTGATTGACGGGAGAACTTTCCTGCTGTCCCTGCCGAGCACCCCTTCGGGGCTGCTTGCAGCCTCAGAATTGTAAGAGCACGGTCAGAAATGAGAATGCCTATTCTTCCCACTATTCTTCCAATTTCCTGGGGTTGGGTTTTATGTCATAAAAGAAATGGGGTGGAGGGTTTTCTGTGTGGTCGACTCTCAACCACTGTACTGAAAATTCCAAGATGAAGAAGGGAAAAGAAAAGAGGAAAAGGAAAGCCCAAGCACGGAATTTCCTGCTCTAGTGTGAAATTTAGCCCATTTTAGCAGAGAAAGAAAATGTTACCTAATTTCCAACACTGAGAATTTTAGCTAGTTACAACATCGGCAATAATCAGTATAGGATACCAGTGTCTTTTGCTTGGGTTCAACAACTCCCTTGTAATGATGCCATCCTTTTTCCGTGCCAATAATTCCAGAGCAAACTGTATTAAAAAAACTGATCACTGAGCTAGAATAACATCAAAAATGGGAGGAATTAATATCTCATCATTTTTTAAATGTAGGAAAGATAGCTAGAATTTCACAATTTTGTGGTAGAAAATTGCTAGATCCCCAGAAAGCCTTAAGAAGACAAAGGAAGCTAAATTTCCTAGAAAAAGGTTTAATAATTCCCAAGTATGAAAATCAATACACACCATTACCTAATCATTAAGCTTTGCATCTTCCTTAAAAGAACTACTTGGTTCTAAGTTAAATTTAAAAGAGAAGAAGGAGAAGAAGAGGGAATTGTGTCCTTTCTCTGCAAACCAGGGTTTTTCACGATTCATTAAACCCTTTTTCCATATGTGTAATTGGACTCTTCTCATTTACATAAACGAGAGATGAGGCAAAAGACCTAAGATCAGCCGGAAAGGAGAGAGATGTTTCTTGTTCTTCGATGTTAAAAAAATATTGTAGATGAAAACTCCAGGCAGGCAGAGTGCACGCGCACGCACACACACGCGCGTACACACACAGACACACACACATCCCCTCGCTCTGAAATCCTGCATGGCCCCAGGAGTGAGCGGGTTTGCCAGTGCTTTGAAGGTTCCCCTGCACATGGTGCCTGGCAGTTATCATTAGAGGCGCATGTTTTTATTTTATTTTCTCTAATTAAAAAGCTTGGGCTGAAATGACTGACAGTAGGACACCGTATCCTACTTTCCCTCCTCATTGTTGATTGGGTTAAAAACCAAGAAGAAAGACTGCACTGTTTCTAAAGAGCACAGCCCTCTGCTTGGGCTTGAGCTGTCTGCCTGGGATCCTCCATTCAGTTGGTTTCAGCACCTGATTAATTAGTTAATTAGTACTTAGAGCTGACTAGCCCCAGTTGGCAATTTTCATGCCCTGCATGGTGAAATGTTGAATCCAGCATTGAAATTTCTGTGTCGTACACCCTAATTATTATCACCCCACTACTTTTAAAACCATTGCACCAAATTATTATTATAGACAGAGCCAGACAACTGTGTGGGAATATGTTCTTTCTGAGAAATAATGGCAGACTTAATCAATATTATTCACTGTTGCCCTTAACACATTTAAATAAAACAATTGAACGGGAAAAATTCTAACTCAATTAGCCTCTAACTCCTTTCACCAAGAAAATGATTGTACATGGGAGAAATGTTAGAAAAATCACATCAAAAATGTTTAATGTTTTATCAGTTCCCTAGTTGGCAAATAGTGTGTGTTTACAAGACATCCTATCTGAGATTAGCTTTGTTCCCATATAAGTCTAAGATGTTAAGAATAAAAAAGAATGGAAAATACAAGCAAAAATTTTAAAAAGTAATAGACAAGATCATTTTGCTAGCTCTAAGGAAATGATGCTATGGGGGGGGGGCTTTTGGTGCTTTAAAAAATTGACATGGTTTAAGAATGAGTTTTCTATGAGGGAAAATATTCCCTGGCTGCGGCCCCATTCTTCTATAGATTTGATGTCATGGCTAAAGTTAAATATCAACTTAGGAAAAGATGATTGTAGAAAATGAGTTAGGACACAAACAGTGCAGTCTGATTTTTGGCATTTTTCAATGTACCATTTAAGGAAGGGGCCCTGTGTGTCACTAATTTCCAATATTATTGGTAGCAAGTTTCACCTGGAAACAATCCTTATATATCAGTAGTGGGTTGCCTGTAATTGTCAAGCTAAATGGTACACAAAACTGGATACACAAGCACGCAGACCAGTAAATGGGACGGACTGAAAGCAAAAGTAAACACCAACCTTAGGAAATGAAAGAAGTTAAAAGATAAGTGTTAAGGACCTTATTCTTTTTGGAGAATAAAACAAGATTTAGTAGCTTTCCACTTAATTTAAATGAAAAGAATCACTACCTTACATATTGCAGTGATAATGTAATGGGGAAAGAAAACAAAAAAGTCTTTGTACAAATGACACCTCCTATAGTTGTTGTGAAGAAACTTTTCCCCTTGGTATCTGCTAACAAATTCTAATTAATGCTGCACATTCCTTTACTGAAATCATTTAATGCGTAACAAGGGGGGAAAAAGAAATGCTGAATGCTCGTGATTGCCCTGTTAGAATTATGGGAGTGAAAGCCTGGGGCCCCAAACTTACTGTCTATTAAAGCCAAGCTTTGAAAAAGAAATGCAACCTACAAAAGCTGTCAATCTCCCTTGCCCCTAAAGCCTGGGTTCACATGGATTCAAGTGACAGCCCTCCTCCCCCCTGCACAATACATCAATCTGTCTCTCCCACAAGCACCCACAGCCCATTGTGCTGGCCGCAGGTGCCTATTATGGCACCCATGGCTGCCTCCCACAGCTCCGCCCCTGAGAAACAGGAACTGCAGACAATGGAGCCCTGTGGGAAGACAGAGGTGGGTGTTAGCAGGGATAACAGACAGATGGTAAAGGGTAGTAAGGTAGTTTCAAAACAAATGTCAAACATTCAAAATTATTGCTTTCGCCTCTGTCCCGCTCCTGAATTGCCTCTGCTTCTTCAATCACCATCTGCCATAATTCTAAGAACAGTTACCTGTTATGATGAATATTTGCTCCCCTTTGTAGGCAGTGATGGAGGCGATGACCTTCGGTACTCTCCTTCTTCTATTTAACCTCTGGATTTCTCAAGGTCACAGACTGAGGCGTTTTCCCTGTTACACTGGTAAAACATACAGGGGAAGAAAGGAATATTTCCAAGTATTGGGCCAGTTGGGGTTGTGTTTGCTTTTCCTTGGGTTTGTGATTTCTCGTCAGCGTGGGTTTGGAGCTTCTTTGGGGGCAAGGATTATAAAAACTAGTTCCTTGGAGTCATACATTTGTAATGCCAAACTACTACAAGACTTACTAATATCATATCCAGCAGGTGGGACTCCTTACATCATTTCGTTTCTGGTAAGGAGTTATGAAAAGGGAAATAAAGTGGATTTAATAATAAATAAAAGTACTGAAGCTCTCACAATCAACCTCTTATTCCCAAGCATATCAACAAAAATCAGTAAAATTGTAAAACCTTACTAAATACGGTTCATATCGAGTTCTGTTACCAGAAAAAGTTCATTTTTTAAACATTATCTTATACAGTGCCATTTGTCTATGGTGTTTTTATCTTCTGAGTTCTGGACTAATTAAGAAGCAATGACTAGAAGAATAAAAATACATGACAAAAACACATATATTAGTTTGAATAATTTCATTGACTTGTTTTTGCCCTTACATGCTCATCTCAATATACTACCTATTTCCATTTCCAACATACTTTGTCCTGAGTTACAACCAAACAATAATTTCATCATTGCTGCTATTACCTGTCTCAAACAAAAAGTGCCCCAGTTAAACCTGGCACGACTGTAAGTCATGGTCAAGACAATTAGTGACTTACTGGGATGGGGGATCCCCCACAATAATGCCAGGGGGTAAAACCAGCCAGTTTTCCTGAAGCAAACAAGAGGGTCTTGGTTTGCTGTTAAAAAGTACATACTGGGCTTTAACTAGAGACTGTCAGAGGTCCAAGTAGCTCCTGGGGAGGGAGGGCTTAATTAGCAGAGTTGGTTTGGGTTTTGAAATTACACAAGAAAAACAACCAAGATGATGTGAAAGCATACAGTAGTCTAATGTAGCACAGAATTCACTATTCCATTATGTGTGTGTGTGTGTGTATGTGTAGTGGCTTTCACATTTCATTAATTTAAATCTGGATTTGAGCATTATTTTTGTGGCCGTTACTACAGCATGTTTCTTTTGCCTTTTTCCTGTGTATTCTTTAAGACGTTTTTATGTGTCTTATGTATTTATAAGGAGCTCTGGTGGTGTAGTGCCTAAGGTATTTGACTGCTAACCAGAAGGTTGGCAGTTCAAACCCACCAGCCACTCCACAGAAGGACGTCTGGGAAATCTACTTCTATAAAGAGTTACTGCCTCAGAAACCCAAAGAGGGCCGCTATGAGTCGAAATTGACTTGACAGCAGTGAGTTTGGGTTTTGGTTTTTTATGTATTTATGTATTTACCACTAAACACAAGTATACATGTCCCCCTCTTTTTTATGTAAGTGGTAGCATTCTACAAGCACGATCATGTTTCACCGACAGATTTGAGAGATCACGCCATGTGAGGACATTAAGGGCTACAAGGGCAAACTCAAGGAGCTCTAGTGGGGCAGTGGTTAAGGCATTTGGATTTTAACCAAAGGTCAGAGGTTTGAACCCACCAGCCGCTCCACAGAAGAAAGATGAGGTAGTCTGCTTCGGGAAGGATGTTGTTGTTGTTGTTGTTATGTGCCGTCAAGTCGGCCCCGACTCATAGCGACCCCTCCTTGGGTTTCCGAGGCAGTATCACTACGGAAGTAGGATTGGCCAACCTTCCTTCCGAGGAGTGGCTGGTGGGTTTGAACCGCCAGCCTTCTGGTTAGCAGTCAAGTGGAAATCCTATGGGGCAGTTCTATTCTATCCTCTAGAGGCACTGTGAGTCGGAATCAACTTGATGGAGTGGGTGTGGGTTGGTTTTCTTTTGTTTGGTTTGGTTTGGTTTTAGGGCATACTTATTACATATGACTAGCTTTGAATCATATTTGGTATTTGTGAAATTTAAGACTTAAGTTCAATAATGGAAAAATATATCACTCCAATATTAGCTACCAAAATAAACAAACCATTTGCAGGCTACTCTTATTTCTGCTAACAGCCATCACTCAATGGCAAATGCTCTAAAATTATTGCAGCTAACTCCCAATTATCGGTTTTAGTGGGAGGCAGAGAAAATATGGAGCAGAAAGTCACTGATAACCTATCGATAAGACTTTTGTTAGAGATACGTACATGGAAACACTTTTATGATATTTGTTGGTAGAATTTGTAAGTTGCTTCTAAAGCATCCAGACTATTCAGAGTTCAAAAGAAATCCCTGAGGCTTCCCACTTGATCCATGGTTCATTATTCATACTTCTCACAAAAATAACCAGGCTTTATTGATGTAACTGATTTAAAGATGCCAGGATTTAGTTGACTGTACACAATCCTTTTACCTGGCTCCAATATTGACTCTTCCTTCATTTTCAAATCAGTATGCCAGTTTGTTGGTTAAAAGCCACGATTTTGTCACATAAACCTGGATTCTAATCCTAACTCTGACACTTGAAAGTGGGGGGATTTAACCTCTCTGATACTCAGTTTTTCTCATCTCTAAAATGGGGGTGGTGATAATACCTCCTCATAGGTTTGTTGTGAAGATTAAATGAGACCATGCAGTCATCCTTAGAACAATGCCCAATCTTCCTTCTGAGGAGTGGCTGGTGGGTTTGAACCTCCAGCCTTCTGGTTAGCAGTCAAATGCCTTAGGTACTATGCCACCAG